CATTACTTATAGTCAAGTTCAGACTCTCCAGATAAACAGTTCCAATTCCGGTAGCTTTCATCTCCTGACCGTTGGCTTGTTTCACAGTGAAGCGTTGCTTCTCAAACGTAGAAAACAATTCCCGGCGTGACGTGAGGTGCTCGGTCGCTCCAGCGTCGATAATAAACACGTTTTCTACTGATGATGTGGCTTTTGGCGACATCAAAGCCTTTGCTGGTCTTGCCTGCGACTTGGCACGACCTTTGCCTGAAGCCTCAGGCTTTGTGGAGCCCCCTTTGGCTCCTTTCTGTTGACGTGGCTTTTTACAGTTCCTCTGAATATGCCCAAGCTGGCCACAATTGTTACAATGAACAACGTTCAAAGCTACAGCCTGCTCCTCTGTAGCAATAACAGTGGGGGTGCTTGAACTCTGAGCTTCACTCCCCCCATCAGCAACAGCTATTGCAGCAAGGTGGTCTCTCTCATTAAGAACCACGGAACAAATTCTCTCCACCGTAAGATCCGCGGCAGGTAGAGAACCAAGCTGACTTGCAACCGTTTTGTAAGTCCGGTTCAAGCTGTTAATAATCATAAAACAGAATATTTCTTCCTGAAGAGGTATATTTCTTTGCGCCATCTGCTGGCGTAGAAATTTCATCTCTGTCAAATGCACTTGCACATCGCCATCAGGCTTCAGTCTCATGTTTGTGAGTTTCTCAAAATGCAGCAGCGCAGTTCCAGCGGCATCTCTCTGATGAATTTGCTGTAACGTTTGCCAAATCTCGCGCGCGAATTGCAAATACGCAATATGCACAAGTTGATGGTCAGAAACACATAAGATGATAGCCGACCTGGCCTTCACATTCTGCTCAGTCCAAGCCCTTGTGGGTGCTGCTGGGATGGGATTTTCAATCACCCCAAATATTCTCTGTCTCTGAAGTAGGGCTTTCATTTTCAAAGACCATGAGGAATAATTGTCATTAGTTAGGGGCGGTGGATAAGGCAAACCCGCCCCTTGCTTGGCATCCATCTTGATTCCAAGTTTCAGCTTTCAGCTACAAGCTGAAAAATCCAACAATCTGTCAGCTGTTTACAAGCTGCAAGCCCTTGGCAGCAAGCGTCCTCTTGGAAAATCCCTTCCAACAGCCTGTTAGCAGCAAGCTGCTCTGAGAATTCCAACAGCTATTCTCAGCCTCTGAGCCTCTATTCAGCTCTGGCTTGCCTCCCTCTTGCCTTTGATGCTTTATGAGCCCATAAATCAGCCCAAAAGTACTCACGATTTCTTGGCAGGCGACGGCAGTGTTATCAGCTCCCCCGGAATGCTTGGAATTTGGCTCTCTCTGGCTGTTTTTAATCCAAAAAACAGCAGCTCTTCAGTGAACCGGAGAACCGTTCAATCCGCATTCACAATGCAGCCATAAATCAGAGGTCCGTGGTACGTTGCAATCAGCAAAAAAAACCCTCCTCACCGGGTGCTCCAGCCGTCCTTAGCTGTGCTTTACAGTCTCTGCCATCCGCGTGCTACCACTTGTTGGATTACATGCCCCCTCGGGAGAGGCTGGCCCCTCTCCAGGCTCCCGGGGCTTGTCTCTGGTGACCTATTCTGGCTGGCATCTCGGCAGTCCAGAGGGGTCTTGATAGGCGACATCCCCCAGCGTGGAAGATGCACACCCCCTTCTCCCCTTGCATACCAGCAGGAGAAAGAAGATAGTCAGAAAGTCTTTTACATTTCTACGGTTTATTTCTGACTTTACATCTCTACAAAAACATGTCTGTTCAGTTCAGTCTCCTCCAAGCAACTGACTAAGACTTCCTTCACATATGCAACAGGAAGGTCTCATATTACACACAGAACAAATCCCTGTGAACTGCCTGGTACATTCTTTCCCAGGACTAGCCACATCATGTGATGTAAACATCGAGCTGCTTGTTTGCAGCTGCGTTGTACTCATATCCCAACACCGGGAAGGGTTATCCACCAGCTGTGGGAGTCCTGTTGAAGTACGCCAACTAGGATCCCACAGGTGTCACCGCTCGGGGGCGTGCCGGAGGCCCTCACCTCCCTAGGTTTAAGACAAGGCAACGCCCCCCAGAGTCCTTTACCGGACTACCCTTTCTCATTGGGTGAAGGTGATGGCGCTTCCTTCCCCCCTCTCATTTTGCATAACAATTACCCCTGCCAATGCCTAACCGCCAATCGAGCAAAGCTCGCCGCCAATACCTTCAAACCTGTAACCAACTCCTAATCCCTGCTATGATGTCCCCCAACCAAATGTCATTTCCAGCATCAGACAGATGCACGCCATTAGATCTGTAGAGGGCCTCGCTGCTGTACTGGATGCCGGGGTGGCCTATGACCCCCCCCCCCCAGAGCCGCCACTCTACGTGCCACAGCCCACTCCAAAACTTTTCTTGCTCTATTTATTGCAACTAGGCTCAATCTATCCCTCCACGTCCTCCTTTCCAGCAGCGAGTACCACAAGATGGCAATGTTTGGATAAACCGCCATCAAATCAGCAAAATCATCGAAGATGTTCCATCTCAAGTCTATAGCTTTGCGGTATGCTAGGTCGTTCTCCCCCAACTGGATAACCAAGGCATCAGGTGGGCCCTCAGAGGCGGCCTTCGCCATCACGGCTGGCTTGAATTCGTTCCAGCACATCCCTCTTCGCGCAATCCATGCCACCTCAACATTTGAAGGTAAGTTTAAGTTTTGCCCCAAACCGGTGCTCATGGCTCGATTCTTGGCCCAATTCACAATGCTGTGGCCCACCAACCAAATGCGCACCCTCATGTAATCTGGAAAGAAAATGGACAGAAAAACCCAGGTCAGGAACCCAGCTGCTAGTCATAGATTCTTTCTAACATAAGCTTTATACACATTAGATTTCCACCGTCCCAAGTCCTTTATCCTCTCGGTTGAGAGTCCAAGGTGTACTGCTGTGGTAGCGGCTCCAATCCGAAAGGAGTGAGCTGCAAATTCAGCTGCAGGCAGCCTGCATGCTGCCAAAGCCATGCGCATCACGCGAGTAAACTGGTGTCTGGCCAAGAGCGATCCATCCGCATGAATTAAGAAAGGGTGTTAGAGCTGTTGGGTATTAGATAGAGGAAACGCCTCGTATCCCTAACCGGGCATGGTCTGCTCCCATGTGCCGCTGGTAAGCGAAGGAGGGCCCCCTTACCCCGCTGGCCCGTCTTAGAGCTACGTACTTGCACAATTAGGTTGGTACTGGACAGGGTCAGGTCACTTAAGAGGATGCCCCTCTGGCAGTGGGCCACCCCACCCTCGCATACTACCTGCCCTATGCAGAGGGCACCAAAGAAGGCTATGGAGTAAGTGGCTGAGAATAGGCGAGCTTCATATTTTGACCAGCATATTGCTCTTAATCTCTTATGTATCTGGGTCAGAATGTCGTAAGTTATGGGCCTCCTCTTGTCAGTGCTAGGTGGCTTGAGCCTGCGCCAGCCCTCTAAAGCTTTACGTACTACAAATTCAGCACACAGATCGGTAGCGAAAAAGGCTTTACAAAAGTATGAAATCCCTGCGGACTGAATGTTGAGAGTCTTTGGTGCCCTGCCCAGCTCCTTCAGGTGAGCTAAGTAGCGGAGGACCTCTCTCATTGAAGGAATGGAAACCTGCCTTGCGTTGGGTATACTGTTGCGAAACTTTAGGAAGTCGGCTCAAGCTTTCTTATAGGATCTCATTGTGGAAGGGGCAACTGCACCCAATACTCCCTTCATCACTTCTCGCTCCCAAGGCTCCAGAGATGCTCCGGGAAAGGCAGCGGTGACTGTTGAGCGTCCGGCGCTAATGAGCGGAAGCGCTCCATCAGAAAACGAGACAGAGCATCCGCGATGTCATTATTAACGCCAGGTACGAATTTGGCTGAAAAATATATATTCTGCTCAAGGCACAAGAGGATGAAGGACCGTAACAAGTTTCCCACCCTGTTGGAACGCGCAGACTGTCTAGAAAGAACCGCTACTACTGCCTGATTATCTGTGTTGAAACAAACCCTATGATTGCGGAAGTGTCCTGCCCATAAATGTACGGCCACTACAATAGGGAAAAATTCCAAGAATGTAAGGTCCAGAGTAATGAGCTTGCCCAGTCAGTCTGCAGGCCACCTTTGAGCGCACCACTGTCCCCTGAAATAAACCCCAAATCCCAGAGAACCTGCCGCGTCTGATTGGACTTGCAAGTCAGCATTGAGTGCCATGGTATCTTGCCATAAGGATATACCGTTATACCTGTCGAGGAATCGTAGCCAGACTTCCAGATCAGACTTAACTTCTTTGGAGAGGCGCACCCTATGCTGGGGTGCCCTAAGACCCACTGACAAAAGGGCCGTCCCGGCGCCACCACCCTACAAGCGAAATTTAGGTGACCCAACAATGATTGAATTTGCCTAAGGGTAACCTTCTTTAGGGGCAGGAGCTGCTGTATCAATGCCTTAAGGGTGACCAGTTTTTCCTCGGGCAGCCTAGAAGTTTGGGCAACGGTGTCTAACTCAATGCCCAGATAGACTAGAGACGTGGCAGGACCCTCCGTTTTGTCGGCAGCCAGTGGTACTCCGAGCTCCCCTGCTAGGGTAGTGAATGCCTCCAAGAGGGCAGAGCATCGTTGTCTATTATCTGCAACCAAAATAAAGTCGTCCAGGTAAAGCCTCCCCTTAGGTTGTGGATCATGTGAAACTCCCCCGGAGCCTTTTTTGGTACGATGCCCAGGGGGGATAGGTGGAGCCCCTCCAGGGGGGGCTCGGAAAAGGGGCCTGCGACCCTACCTGCATTAATTTCTTTCTGTATCTTTTTTCTAACTATCTCAGGCCGTTCCCTAACAGATTTTATATTTTGGGGGTCCCCGGTGTTGGGGGGAAATGCCACCAGGATTCTAAAACCCAAGGAGAACCCATCCCAAAGGTATTTTGCAGCTTTTTAATCTGGGTATTGGTCTAGTAGGGTTTTGAGGGGCTGGAGGCGGATGGGGGAGAAGGCAAGCCCAAGATACAAGTTACTGGCGGTTACTGGCTCCCTGGTGAGCGGATCCGGGGGCACCCCTGGCATTGTTGTTGAAGTACCCCCTGCCCCCCGAAAGGGCTGCTGCCTGTTTTTAAAGCATGCAGAGGCAGGGTGGTTGCCCAGGCACCGCTCACATTCATGGAGATACTTACAGGTAGGTCGGGAACAGACACCCCTGTTGTACTCCCAGCACTGGCGGCGCTGTTTTGCTTCTGCCTTACCCGACTTCACTGCATCCTGGTGCTTCTTTTCTATGTACGGGCCAACGTCCTCGCCCCAGTAATTTGGGTCCCTTAGGTCCCAACGGGTAGAGGGTAGTAGAGAAGCATTTCTACAAAAATTCTCATCATATGTTAATGCAGCAGTCTCACCAGCCAGCGTATGAGCCCGCCTCTCGTAAGCCAGATAAGCAACCAGATCCATGGCCTGTTTAGGATAAGCCACGCAGACTACTCCCATAAAAACCTAGAACCCGTCTAACCAGTTGTCAAAGGTGCGCTCGGCCCTCGGCGTCCTGTATTTATGCTTACCAAAGGAGCGCCTCTTTTCCCCTTTCCCCGTTAATTTGGTAGGAGGTAGGAGGGTAAATATATTTACGTAGTTGCCATTGAGAATCTTATTCCTTTTTCTCTGTGACAAATGGTTACCTAAAATGAAATCCGTAGACAAGTTGGTGGAAATCTTAACATCTTCCACCAACGCCCCCTCCTTCCATTCCAATGTTCCATTAAAGGGCTTACGGTGTGAATTGGCTCTTCTTTCATGCGCCCATAAAGGAAGCCCATGACTATCCTCGCCATAACCCCAGTACCCCTCCATAGGACTATCACTATCGGAATCGGAGGAGGACGTACCTGAGTCATCTTCTGTATCAGATTGCTTACTTCTTTTCTTCTTCGCCAAAGTGTGCTTCTTTTTAGATTTTCTTTTGCCCCCTTGCACCTCACTGTTGGCCGGGTTCCCGCTGGTTGCTGGTGGGGCGGCTTGGGGTACCTGCTGCTCATCCTCTGAGCCGGAACCCGAGCCACCTTCAGTTGAACTGTGCTGAGGGGAATGCTCCTGAAAAACACTAGAGATGTCTATGTTGGGTGTAGTGAAGGGTTAACCTTCTGTGTCTCGAGGCTGAGAGGAGGCGCTTACAAGGGAAGTAAGCCAGGACGTGACGAAAGCAGCATGGAATGCTGTGAGCTGAGTGAAAAGTGAAAGCAGCTTAGCTACGCAGCTGCAAACAGGGAGAAGATGCAGCTTGAATCAGATGGAATTTCTTGCTTGTAAATATGCTACTTTTGAGCAAATAAAGTGATATAAGGACAGAAGAAACGTGTGGGACTTGTTTTACTGCCCTTTCAACACGGACGCTGTGCAATTCTGCTAATTGCTTTACGACCTGCAGAGGCGTGCAGGGGAAGCGTGCCGGACGCCGAACACTAAAGCAATAAATCTACCTAACAGTCTAGGACCTGTGAAGTGGAATTGCTGTTGGCCCCTTTTGTCGGCGCCTTACCCTTATTGGCACCCTTTGCCTGAGCCTTACCCTTACTGGTACCCTTAGCGGTGGCCTTGCCCTTACTGGAACCTGAAGTGGGTTTCAAACTCAGTGATTGGGAGCGCGTGTGGGGGCGTTCGGCAGAGGCGCTTTCGAGTTGGGCGTCGTCAGACGCAGAAGCTGTTGTGCCAGCTTGCGCCTGGCAGGGAAGAGGAGTGTCGGGTATAAAATCCTGCGATGCTTCCGGAGGTGGGAGTGCGAGAACCCTTGGCCTACAGTGCCTATAGAAGGTTTCAAAAGCCGTGAAAAATTGAGCAAAAGCTTGTGGGTCACACGGCATGGCTGGCAATTGGGCGCCCCCGTTACCTGTGGAAGATGACTGCTGATTTCCACCGGAAGCCATCCTACTTACAAAAGACAAGAAAAGAAACCTTCAAAATAATCACCCAACAGCTAGTTCAGTATTGATCACACTGTCTCCCCCCCTTTATTTATTTATTTATTTATTTATTTATTATAATTTTATTTTTTGTATTATTTATTTATTTGTTTTTATTTATTTATTTATTTTATTTCACCCTAACAAGGAGGAAAGAGGAAGGAAGGCAAAGTGTGCCTGCTAGTAGGTGTCACAGCAATATCGACACTGGATATAGAGGAGAACCGCAGAACTAGTTCAGTATTTCCTACACTGGCAGCCAGCCGCTAAAGAACCTGTCTATTTCAGATAATAGATATTATAGATAAGAGTTATTTAAATGTATAAGGGGTATAGCAAGGTATAAAAGGTGAGCAATTAAAGGTAAGATTTTATACCAAAGTATTGTTGAGGCGTTATTAGTGAAGCTCACAAGGAAGGAAGAAGAGTTAACCACAGTAAACCGAAAATCACGCAGAATTAGAGCAGGACTAATGCAGCCTCAATGCCTAAGCAGTGCGCCTTGGCTGCCTACCGACTCACAACTGACTCAGAGGTTCAGTGTGCCAAGCACCAGTGACCAAATAAATTGCCTTCAGATATAATTGAGATAAATTGCCTGTAGCGAAACCGTTGCCTGGGGAGAGCCAAACCCCCTAGTGATGCTGCAGTTGACTCCCACGAACGCTACTTTGTATGTCCCTTATAACTATGAAGAAGTGAGCCTCTTTGAGACCCCCACTATGGTGCGTAAGTTATTACTTCAATTAATCACTCCCGAGAAACAACCCTTAAGCTGAATTGTACAATGAGCAAGTAGAAACAGCACGGCTAGCAGAGATAGCCTATTTGACCCCCCCCCAAGAAAGGCTTTCAAAGGTCTGGTGAAGAGAAATTTCCCCAATTATCAAGCAGCAAGTAAACCGCACGTATTTCCTCTTAACCAAGCCCGCTAGCGGAACGAGGAACCCTGTCCGCTACCTGCAATGCACCTTTTGTCTTCTGATCAGCGCCTCACCGAGCAGAAAAGGGGGCCTCACCGAAACACTGTACCCTAGCTAACGCGACTCCCGAAACCTCGGCTGAAAAATTGGCGATTTTTCGGGGGGCCACCAGGTGGCGCGTTGGAAGATGGCCGACAATAACATCTCTCTGACCCATACGAGGTAATTAAGGGGCTGCTATGGGAAGTATGCAGTCTTCCTACCCCCCAAGGAGATGGGGGGGGCTGCCTTGCCAGCGGTGTTCACAATGCACCCCCTGATCCGAGAGATGGGGGTGCCGAACACTTGGCACGAGCCCTCGATGAAGGCAGATCTTCCTGACGCCGATTCCAATCAGCGCGTGCTGGTTAGCTTCAGCTCGGAATTATAATTGGAAACATACGATTGGAATGAAGCTGAAGCACATACATCAAGTAACGTTCGAGAGATAAGACTGCTGATTAATGGATCTCTGTGACCGGGAGTGATGGACGGATAAGTAAATCTTCTGATGAATCACCATTAAGAGACTGTATTTTTGGAATGAAGCGGGGGTGGAGGAAAAAACTTTTTTTTCTTTGCACGATGTGATATTAATAACCCTTCACCCCAGATAGAAATAAGATCGTTGCGTTTTTACTAATCACAAGCAGGAATTCAAGAACTGTGTGGGATGGATTATAACAGGAGAGAGGATTGGTGAACGGTGAGAAAGAGGAAATTTTTTATGATGCAGTTGAAAAATGGCGTCAAGCCAAGACAGGCTTGCCGGAGAAAGAAGGACAGGGGGAGGAGAATCAGGACCATTGGAAAGAGAAGGAATGTTGGAACGCAATCTTGACCTGACAGAGCCTCCTGATTTATTTGGCAAGCCTGAGAAAAGTAAGGACAGATCGAAGATTATTTTTTTTATGGAAGCGTTGAACAGAGGCTGTCCCTGAGCGATATGATCTCTGGAGAGTACAAAACTCACACAGAGGATGCCTGTTTTCAATCTGCTTGTGAAAATTATCAGAGATCACAAAGAAAGGAATATACGATAACAATAAGAAGATGAAGAAAGTAATAAAGGACTATCTGGATTGAACTGGATACAACTGTTTAATTAAAGCAGTAATATAAGTGATGTTTGGACTCATTCGGAGTTTTGGACTCATTCGGAGCTTAATGTATGGGTACCCCCAACAAAATTTAAAATTTGGCTGTATAATTTGGAACTAATGTGATTTGGATAATGTGATGTGATTGGCCTGTTAATAAAAATTATTTAAAAAAAATAAAATAAAATTGGTGATTTTTCTCCCCCGCCCAGGAAGCGCCAAAGCAGAACCCCTTCTAAATCGTCAATTTTGAGCTAAATATTTGCCAGCCACCCCTACCTTACTCAAGATGGCGGCCCAAGCTTCCCCCACGTGGGCTAAGGAAAATGGCGCCAGAAGCTTACCAGCCACACGCCCTTATCCAAAATGTCCGTCCGCGCTTCCCCACGTGCTCCCACAACAAGAATGGAGCCGAGTGTTAACCGGCAGAGCGCACCTCAGTTAAGATGGCCACCGAAGCTTCGCCACGTGACCCCCCAGATGATACGGTTTCCGCGGAAACAGGGAGACGCGACCGGACCGAACCGAACAGGACAGCTCAAGCAGGATGCACAAACCAGAAAAGGGGAAAGCCTAAAGAAAGTAACCACAAAGCTCCAAACGCCTCTACAGGCTCTCCCCACCTGAGTGGTGAGTGGGGGGGGGGGGTGAGGTCGCGCACGCTTTTTACAGCAATCGGCAGACCCCTCGGCCGAAAGGAATTGAACAGATAGGGAAACCCGCCCCACAACCGGGCACAACAATAGAAATCCTTATCAAACAAATGTCTGCAGCCCCCAGATACGTTACCGGTCCCTCGGGGAAGAAGTAGGGATACCGCTCTCAGAGCACGGTCCGGGGAGGAAGTAGGGACACTGATCTCCGAGCGTAGTTAAGAATCCAGCGTGGACTAGAAGAGGACCTTTCCTATCCTTTTCGTTTCTTTCCCTTTGAATATATAGCTTTGTATATAGTTTTGTGGGAGGTAACCCAGGTAATAGGTAATAGGTCCCTCCACCTAAAAATGCCACAGATAGGACTGCGGGTGACCATGGTATTGGCCAGGATGGTATTCTTCTTATTTCTGGCCATCACCGCGCCCACACCACTTAAGGTAAGCCAGCGGCTAATGAGAGAATGGGGTGCCCGCAACACGTACAATAAATGGCTGCAAATGGCAGAAATGGTAGTCTATTCTGCAAACCGAACCAATTGCACGGTCTGCACGCTGGGACCTACAGATGCTTTGGGAGGAATACCCCTCCTCCCTGTGCCTTGGAATGAGTCCTCAGTTACGGCCCTGATTTTGGGTTCCACCGGATTTTGTGCCCCGTTAAATTTGACAGAAGGAGCCTGTTGCTTTAACATCTCTGACCATGGTGAAGCTATGCGACACCTGGCAGCAGAAATAGAAAAAGTAGCCCATGTTCCTGTCCCAACCTGGAACGGATGGGAAATGTCTTGGTTGACTGAGTGGCTTCCGAACCTTAGGTGGCTTAGAGGACTTTTAATGATGTTAATAGGCCCCTTGCTAATCTTGCTTCTTTTCTGCTCCTGTATACCCTGCTTGATGCAATGCCTGCAAAATATGATGCGTAAAATGATGTCACGAATGATTCGGCCCCAGATTATAGCACTGACACGAGAATACCGGCCAGTACCTTGGGAGCAACGCAGAGCCCACCAATCAGTAAAGTTTAATAAGGCTACAGTACCCTTCTCCTTGTGCCCTCCATCTTTCCCAATATCAGGATCTTTCCCAGGGAGTCTTCTCTTCTCATGAGGTGGCCATAGTATTGGAGCCTCAGCTTCAGGATCTGTCCTTCCAGTGAGCACTCAGGGCTGATTTCCTTCAGAATGGATAGGTTTGATCTTCTTGCAGTCCATGGGACTCTCAAGAGTCTCCTCCAGCACCATAATTCAAAAGCATCAATTCTTCTGCGATCAGCCTTCTTTATGGTCCAGCTCTCACTTCCATACATCACTACTGGGAAAACCATAGCTTTAACTATACGGACCTTTGTCGGCAAGGTGATGTCTCTGCTTTTTAAGACGCTGTCTAGGTTTGTCATTGCTTTTCTCCCAAGAAGCAGGCGTCTTTTAATTTCGTGACTGCTGTCACCATCTGCCGTGATCACGGAGCCCAAGAAAGTAAAATCTCTCACTGCCTCCATTTCTTCCCCTTCTATTTGCCAGGAGGTGATGGGACCAGTAGCCATGATCTTTGTTTTTTTGATGTTGAGCTTCAGACCATATTTTGCACTATCCTCTTTCACCCTCATTAAAAGGTTCTTTAATTCCTCCTCACTTTCTGCCATCAAAGTTGTGTCATCTGCATATCTGAGGTTGTTGATATTTCTTTTTTTTTTTAATGATATTTATTCCAAATTTAAAGTTACAAAAAAGAGAAAGAAAAACCATACAAAATACAAAGAAAATTTAACCATAGCAAAGCAAAAAGTAACAAGAAAAGAATGAACAATAAAAAATAGTAAAAAAGAAGACAAAACAAAAAATATAAAAATGCGTTGAGTTAAAATAGAACAAAAACAAATTAAACCTTTACATAACCTTTTCTGTTGGGTTGAAATCACGACAGACGAGTGGTAGGTGTCATGTGAGAGGCGTCTCCCCGGGGCAAGCCCCGGGAACTCTCTTTTATTGAATATTACAAACATTGCCACAGGTGTGCTTGTGGCTGATTGGTTGATACAAACACAAAGCATCTTGTTGCTGATTGGTTAACATAGGTACAAGGCGGGAATTACATACAACCATTTATTACTGATAGATCAAAGACTGGGAAACGGAGCTGAAACTAGACAGGCATGAAACCTCCTAATTAAATTATAACTTAAGATTGATATTTGTCAGGGCTGCCTCAAGTCTCAGCTCACAAAAGACGAACGCCTATGTCTTCTTATATTCAAAAGTGTTTATTGCAGTTCATTGTTTGCTTGACATCCTAGGCGCGCAGCCCTACGTCTGCTACGCTTAGACCGCTGAAGTCCCCTCTGAATCCGTCCCTCCCCTGCACCAATTTAAGAGGCTTGCGCTGCTCCACCTCTTTCTCTCTTTCCTTTTCCGCAGGGTCCTTCTGCCCGCTGGGGTTTCGCTCCTCCTGGATTCCTCTGACGCGGAATCAGACTGCTCTTCCCCCCCTCCTGCGGGCTTTGGGACCTGGCCCCTCCTCCGGGCTCCCTGTACTTCCGCGCGCCTCTACATTTGAACTTGGCGCGCGCGCCAAACCTCTAACTTTCCTTTTGACAGTTACACTACTCCCTTCACTGCTCCCCTCCCCTTCCGGGAGGGCGGCTTGCTCTGACCTCCCTCCCTTCTCTGCTGACGGAGCTGTTTCCCCTGACACACTGGAAACTCCACCCCCTTCGCTGCACTCTGGTGGGGAGGCTGGTCCTGACGCCCAGCTGCCACTTTGGGATCCTCCGCTGGCCCCCTGCTCCTGACACGTCCCCCCTGGGGCTCCCTGGCCTTGACCACCGGCGCCCCTTCTGGGAATCCTCTGATTCGCTGGAAAGACTCATGGAATCTCTTGAGTCATTGTCATCCTCTTCCTCGCTGGCTTGGGATTCATCCCCATCGCTCTCCATCTCCTGCCTACCCTGTGCCTCTCTCCCTGAACCCCTGACATCCATCCCCCCCTCGAAGCCCCCCCTTCCCCCCTTCCGCTGCTCGGGCGCAGGTTCCGGGAGCTTCGTTGTAGCGGGGGTAGATGCTGGATACAGATCGTCGACGTCGATCTCCTCTGCTTCCAGTTCAGTGTAGGAGTGCTCGAAACCGGGGTCCTCCCGCGACACATTCAAACCCTTCCCTCCCCCTGTTACTTCAGGCGAAGCTGCTTGCCAAGGCCCCCTTCTCCACCCCACTTCTGGTTGATCGTCCCACCAATAAGAGCGGTCCGTGTCCACCCCCGAGCACGATCCCCTTGGAGGGCTCGATTGCGGCGTGGTCTCCTCTGCGGAGGAGAACCCCCGGAAGGTGCTGCCTGAAAGTGTGGGGTAAAAGCCAGTCGTCAAAATACTCCGCTGGCATGGGCCTGTGTGGGAAGAGTGCATGGAACTCGTCCTTAAGCAAAGGTTCCTCCAGAGCATAATCTGGCACCCAACTGTTGGCGCTGGCCGGGGTACCTCCCTGGCGAGGAGGTATTCCACTCCCTCCTCCCCCCATCTCGAGTCCAGAATTTCCGTGACCTCGTTGAGTGTCGGGGTCCTCGGTGACTTCCCCCCCCCCGGTGACTTTCTAAGTGGGTCTGGTGCCATCCCTGGCTCCTGAAATCTGTGTGGGGCCTTGTAGGGTGTAAGCACCGACCTATGAAAGACCGGGTGCATTCGGGAATCCTCTGGGAGGGTCAACCGAAAAGCTACGGGATTGATCCTGCCCTCAACTTGGTATGGCCCTAGCTGTTTGTGTCCTAGCTTCTTCTTAGCTAACGACTTGGCCGGCACCGCCTGGGCTGCTAACCATACCCAGTCCCCCACCTGGATGTCTTCTCCTGCCCTCCTGTGCCTGTCTGCCTGCACTTTGTAGGCGTGTTTAGCTAGTTCCAAGTGCCGTCGTAGCTCCTCGTGGACCTCCTGCAATTCTGCTGCTAAATGCTCCGCTCCCTGCGACTCTCCCTGCGTCGTTGTCTCCAACGCCGGGAAGGTTCTGGGATGTCGCCCATTGTTGGCGAAGAACGGTGTCACCCCCGTTGACGCGTGCTTCGTGTTGTTGTAGGCAAACTCGGCCATCGGTAAGTAGTCCACCCAAGTTGCAGGCTTTTGATTGGCGTAACATCGCAGGTACTGCTGCATGATGGCGTTGACCCTCTCCGCTTGGCCGTTGGTTTGCGGGTGTCTCGCCGACGCTAAGTTGATGTTGACATTCAGGATGCCCAGGAGCTTCTGCCAGAAACTGGAAATGAATTGGCGACCCCGGTCGGACAGGATGGACCACGGTAAGCCGTGCACCCGGAACACGTGGTCTATGAACAGCTTGGCGGTCTGTTCCGCTGTTGCCACCTTCGCGCAAGGAATGAAGTGCGCCATCTTGGTGAACAGATCTACAACCACAAGCACCGCCGTCTTGCCCCGCGAACTGGGCAGATCAGTAACAAAGTCCAGCGCCACCCTTTCCCACGGCTGCAGTGGCGTCTCCAGCGGTTCCAGCAATCCCGCTGGCTTCTTGTGCACTGGCTTGGAGCTCTGACAAGTGTCACACCTGGCGACGTAATCCGCGACCTCTCCCCGCATCTGGGGCCACCAAAAGTCTCTGGCTACTAAGTCCGCCGTCTTTTCTTTGCCGAAGTGACCCGCGCTGGGGGCGTCGTGTAACTGCTGTAAAACCTTCGCGCGGAGATCGTCTCCCGGGACGTAGAGAGCACCTTTGCGGGTCAGCAGGCCGTCGCGTATCTGGAATTCGCCGTCCTTTGCTGTCCCTCTTCGCACCTCCTCCATCTTGGATTGTGCGAACGGATCCGTCTGTAGCGCGCGTCGTACCGCGTCCAGGTCCACGGCGGCGGAAGCGCACGCCCACGCTTGCGGTGCGAAAATGTGCCTGGCTGCCACTGGTGCCGCTTCCTCGAGATACTGCGGTTTCCTGGAGAGCGCATCCGCTATGACGTTGTTGTCTCCCGGGATATACTCTATCCGGAAATCGAAATCCGCAAAGAACTCCGCCCATCTCATGTGCCTCTGGCTCTGGAGCTTCGCCGTGCGCCAATACTCTAGGTTCTTGTGGTCCGTGCGGACCTGCACGGTGTGCTTGGCTCCGATGAGGAAGTGCCGCCACGCCTTGAAAGCCGCGTGGATGGCCAACAACTCCCTGTCCCAGATGGTGTAGTTCTGTTCCGACTTGCTGAGCTTCCGGGAATAGAAAGCGCAGGGCCTCCAGTTCCCTTGCGGATCTTCCTGCAAGAGGACGGCCCCCACTGCTCTGTCAGATGCGTCAGTCTCAACCCGCATGGGCCTGCCGGGATTCACGTGTAGCAACTGGTCTTCGGACGCGAAGAGACTCTTAAGTCTCCTGAAGGACTGCTCCGCCTGGTCCGTCCAGGTGAACTTTTCTTCTTGGAACTGAGGGTGTCCGTGATAGCTGCCGTCTCTTTCGCGAAACCCCTGATGAACTTGCGGTAAAAGTTGGCGAAGCCGACGAACCTCTGGACCTCCTTCCGATTGCGCGGGCTGTTCCAGTCCAACACCGCGCGGACCTTGGCGCTGTCCATGGCTAGTCCCTTGTCGGACAGCTGGTAGCCCAGGAAATCCACCTCCGTCACGTCGAACTGGCACTTCTCCAGCTTGGCGTAGAGTCTGTGCTCCCGTAGCCTCTGCAGGACCTCCTTTACGTCTCTTTCGTGAGTCTCCTGCGATTCTGAGAAGATCAGAATATCGTCGAGAAAGCATACGCACTTCTTGTAGAGGAGTCCTGCTAGCACGTGGTGCATGAATGCTTGAAAACAGTGGGAGCCATTTTGGAGACCAAACGGCATAACTCTGTATTCATAGGTGCCCAGCGGCGTGAACATGGCCGTCTTCCACTCGTCACCTTCCCTCATGCGTATTAGATTGTATGCTCCGCGTAGATCCAACTTGGTGAAGATCCTCCCCTTCCTCACCGTCGCGAGCAGGTCGTCAATCTTGGGCATGGGGAAAGCCTTGGGTTTTGTCATCGAGTTTATGGCCCTATAGTCCACAATGAGCCGTTTTTGGGGCGTGTCCTTCTTCTTCACGAAAAACACAGGACTGCCCCCCACTGCCTTGGATTCTCGGATGAATCCCCGCTTCAAATTGTGATCTATGAACTCCCTGAGTTCCTGCATCTCATCTGCAGACATGGAATACAGCTTCGCAGTCGGTAGCGTCGCCCCTGGTAAGAGGTCAATTGCACAGTCGTAGGGCCGGTGGGGTGGTAAGTGGTCAGCTTCCTTCTCGCAGAAAACCTCCAAAAACCCCTTGTACTTGTGGGGCACCGCCTGCACCATGCCTAGATGCAACTGTTGCCCTTCCTCCTGGCCCTCCTCCTCCTGGCCGATCTGGATGCAATGTTGTGCGCAGTAGGACGAGCCAAAGGTGAGCTGCCGCTGGTACCACGCCAATGATGGGCTGTGTCTGTCCAGCCAACTCATGCCTAACACTATGGGCGTGTCTGACAGTTGGGTCACATTGAAACTGATGACCTCGCGATGATTCCCAATTTTCAGCAGCATGGGTGGCGTCTGTTGTACCACTTGCCCACCCAGCAACTTCCTGCCATCTACGGTGACCACATTCAGAGGCAGCGTGGCTGGTAGTAGCGCTATGCAATGCTGCTTGATGAACTGCATCCCCACGAAGTCTGTGTTGCTCCCTGAGTCAATCGTAATGGGGACTTCCAGGGTGAGTCCATTAGGCAGCTGGAGAGTAGCAGTGAGCTGCACCACTGGCTTGGGTGGTAAGGGGTCTGTAGGCTGCAAAAGCGCTGGGGACTGCTTCACTGACTTGCCTGGCGGAGCCCCAGCATCTCTGCTTCCAGCCAGGCATTCTCGTTTCCCTGAAACTGTTCCCCTTGGAATGCTTCCCTGTTACTGTTGCTAAGGCTGCAGTGTGCTTCTGGAGCCTCTGGGGACACTCTTTAGCCATGTGCCGTGCACTGTCACAGATGTAACACTTCCTGGTCCCTCTAGGAGGCTTCGCTTTGACTGCTCCGGACGCTGAGGCTCCGGCAGCTGTCTGAGCCTTTGCACCACCCAGCTCCATTGGTTCTTCCCCACTCCTTTCAGCACAGGCGAAAGGTTTGTACGTTCCAGGTCCCTGGGAGGAAAAGGAGGTGCTCTAGCTGGTGGGCGGACGTGACGCCCCTCCTCACTGTGCCAAGGGCGTTCTTCGTGGCGCACCCCTATCGTGAGTGCCCTCTGCACGACGTCTGCTAGGGTTTGAGGTCTGTCTCCCTAGCCAGCTCATCTTTCACTGAGCCATGAAGCCCTTCCCAGAACAAGTCCCTCACTGCCAGGGAGTCCTTTTCCCAGCCCAGCACATTCAGCAATGCAAAAAAGCGAGAATGGTACTGACGCACTGTAGCCTTGCCCTGCCGCAATCCATGCATCTCCTGGCGCGCCACATCAACGTCAACGGTAGATTGGAAGCAAGCGTCCATGGCTTTGATAAATTCGTCAGAGTCCCTGCGTGCAAGACCATCTTCGCGCCACAAATTGCGTAACCAGGTTCTAGCTTCCCCATGCAAATGGGACACAATAAAGCCTACTTTTTCCTCCTCATCTTTGAAGTCGTTTCGAGCAAATGCAGCGCGTATACGACGTCTGCTCTGAAATTGGGATAATGCTTCAGGTTCCCATCGAAGTGGGCTACTAAATTGCCCCCCCTCCGTCCGAGTCCGATTCCCTCTGATCTGGACCCCGGGAACCCCTCTTTGCACGCCCGATCCCACCTTTCTTGCAGATCCTGGCATCGCGCTTCTGCGTCGGCAACCGTCTTCTGAGAGACCCGTACTGCAACGGAGAGTTCAGTGACTGCGTTTTGCAGGGTCGTTATCTGCTCCTCAGTAGTCATCTCTGCCAAACTTCGTGAGCTTTGCAAAAAAAAAGAAAAATTTGCGGTTTTTTTGAGAGGGGACTTACTGTCAGGGCTGCCTCAAGTCTCAGCTCACAAAAGACCAACGCCTATGTCTTCTTATATACAAAAGTGTTTATTGCAGTTCATTGTTTGCTTGACATCCTAGGCGCGCAGCCCTACGTCTGCTACGCTTAGACCGCTGAAGTCCCCTCTGAATCCGTCCCTCCCCTGCACCAATTTAAGAGGCTTGCGCTGCTCCACCTCTTTCTCTCTTTCCTTTTCCGCAGGGTCCTTCTGCCCGCTGGGGTTTCGCCCTCCTGGATTCCTCTGACGCGGAATCAGACTGCTCTTCCGATCTCCTGCGGGCTTTGGGACCTGGCCCCTCCTCCGGGCTCCCTGTACTTCCGCGCGCCTCTACATTTGAACTTGGCGCGCGCGCCAAACCTCTAACTTTCCTTTTGACAGTTACACTACTCCCTTCACTGCTCCCCTCCCCTTCCGGGAGGGCGGCTTGCTCTGACCTCCCTCCCTTCTCTGCTGCCGGAGCTGCTTCCCCTGACACACTGGAAACTCCACCCCTTTCGCTGCACTCTGGTGGGGAGGCTGGTCCTGACGCCCAGCTGCCACTTTGGGATCCTCCGCTGGCCCCCTGCTCCTGACACGTCCCCCCTGGGGCTCCCCTGGCCTTGACCACCGACGCCCCTTCTGGGAATCCTCTGATTCGCTGGAAAGACTCATGGAATCTCTTGAGTCATTGTCATCCTCTTCCTCGCTGGCTTGGGATTCATCCCCATCGCTCTCCATCTCCTGCCTACCCTGTGCCTCTCTCCCTGAACCCCTGACAATATTGAAAGAACATAACATGAAGGAATACAACAATCACGTTCCGTAGATGTGGTCAGCAATGCATTAAAAACAGGTCAGGATACACTGTTTCATGAACTCAATGGGAACTGTTCAGAACATTCTCAGACTCTTGTGCAGAAGCAGAGGAAAGATTATGAGCGAGATTTCCCAGAATGCAAGAGTTATGTGCAGTAAGAGAACTGCAGAAAGAGAACTTCGCAGTAAGAGAACTGCAGAAAGAGAACTTCCCTTCATCTCCCCCTTTCTTTTCTTGTTTGCGAGGCGTTCTAGGTAGATAAGGCAAAAATACTTCGGGATTAGTGGTGTGCCAGCAAATGCCCAAAATAAGTTCGCCAGGGTCGATGGGACAAAAATACTTCAGGATACGTGGTTTGCCAGCGCATGCCCAAAATAAATCTGCCCACATCTCCCCTAAGGTTTACTGTTGGTGTTGCCATTTCGCAAAGTAAGCAGCAAGGAGTTTACTGGGTGGTTGAGGGGGAGAGAGAAGTCGAGAGAAAAGACTTATGAGGCTAGGAACGCATTGAAGGAAGCAGCATAGCAAAATAAGAATACAAATTATGACCATAGCATATTGAAAAAGACTACGAAGCCAAGTAAGGTTAGGCAGCCAAGCAGTAAGCCACTGGGTGAAAGAATCCCAGAGGCCAGAAAATCCAACGTCCTGTTTAATGTGATGTGTAAGATTTTGCAAGTGAGAGATTTGGCTTTGAATGGCCCTAGAATTGTCAGTAATATTGAAACAACACATGTCATTCACTTGTTCACAGCCATAGTGATGAAGCATCAGCAAATAATCGATAGCATGATTTTGTAAAAGTCCATTTTGTAGTTCACTCTGTTCTTTATTCAAAAGGTGAAGGGCTTGAGAAGTATAATTCAGGGCTTTTTTGCTGCAGAATAAGCTAAGGAATTAATGTTCATACGATTCCGCACAGGCGATCCAGGGACTCCTAAGAGAGAAACAGCTAAAGAGATATATTCAGACCTACTGAGAAGAGAGACAAAAGCATCACAATCATTAGTCAATTCCACAGAGCGGCGATATCGAGAGCGGGATAAATGATGCTTCTTGGGTAAAATGATGGACAAACGGCTTAAACAGCAAGGTGTGCCATGGCTGATGTTTGCTGGAATGTAATTAAACGTATAGCCAGGACACGACCAGAAGATTTCCAGTTGAGGGGAAGTGCAAGCTTACTCATTAAATTGAATGGTAGCTTGTAATTGTTGTAGTAAATCTCTTCCCCACAGATTGAGGTGGATTTTCAGCACACAGGGCTGGATGTAAGCAGTGGTTTCAGAGCTATCAGGCAGAGAAACAGGCAGCCACTGTACGCTTTTGGAAGAGGTTTGGGGGCCACCCACACCCCAGACTGCAGAAGCAGACTCAAGGGGCCACGTGGGGTCCCAGCAACTACTAGAAATTACAGAAACGTCTGCGCCTGTGTCAATCAAGCCTTCCAGCACAATACCATTGATTTTATACTTACGAAGAAGTTTCTTTTCACCAATCCTCTGGACTACAGCTAACAGCTGTGGAGGGAAAGAAGAGAGCTCGTGCAAATTAGTATCCATAATAGAAGCAGTAGGATGAGAAGGAGCACCACCAAATGCGCCCAAGACTCACCCTTTTTAATTGCATGGGCATATGGCTCCAGAGTTGAACCATTATTGTGCCTACATAGTCAGGATCCAGAACTCCAGGAATAACCTGGATTCCTTCTTTTGCCGCAGAAAATTTGGGTAAAATTAAACCTGCGACTTTAGGAGGCAGTGGGCCTGCCAATTGAGTGGGCATAAGAACAATTTCACCAGGTAAAACAGAGTCTTTGGTCTCCTGATTGATCAAATCAATGGCAAATTCAGAGGGTGTGTTCTTTGAAAAGCTTGCAGCAGCAGAAACTAAAGGTGGAAAACTCTCTAATTGCCCTGGCCCGAGAGTGGGGCCGCAATGGAGTTTCCCGACCTCCTGCATTGATTAGCCCAATGATAGCCTTTGCCACATTTCGGGCATTTTTTAGAAGGTTTAGCCTTAGAGGCAGCACCATCCTTGTTTGCCCCCCCGCCAGGGGCTCTGCATTGCTTGGCAAAATGGCCTGGGCGCTTGCAATTAAAGCAGTTACCCGTAGACCTAGTGGTTGCTTGGATTGCGCCGGCAAGCAAAGACATCGCATGGCTCTGGCTACCGACATCCGCACAAGCTTGAATCATATCGGCCAGGTCATATTTAGGGCGATGTATGATTGACTGCAATGCCTTCTTGCAATCGGTGTTTGCGTTTTCAAAGGCCAATTTTTTCATCAATTCATTTTGAGCTGTGGTGTTATCAATCTGCCTAGTGACTGATTCTTTCAATCTATCTATAAACTGATGGTATGGCTCCGAATGCTGTTGCTTAATATTTACAAAGGAGCTCAGCGGTTGCCCAGAGACAGGGACTTTCCAAAAGGCGCGTTGTACACAGGTCGCGGTGCGACTAAAATGTACAGGTGTCAGCGTTGCTTGGGCAGTTATATCAGCAAACTGACCAGCGCCATAAAGTTCATTGGCAGTATGTTGAGGATCAGACAGGGCTGATGCACTATGTTTAAACTCACTCTCAAACACCACATACTGAGCAGGGGACAAAAGCATGCGCATCAGGTCTTTCCAGTCCTGAGGTAGCATAATGTAACCAGTTGCTATGCCCTCTAGCATTCCTGTCACATAAGAGGATTTTAGACCAGAATCAGCAATGGCTTTCCTTAATTCTCTCATTACAGAATAAGGAAGCGATTCATAAAAAACCTGCTGTTGAGCAGTTCCAGGGTTTGAATAGGTTATAGGGAAAGCAGACGGCATTTCACCTGGCCACTCAGACTCCTCCTCTAAGGACAGGAGCCCTTTCTGCCTGGCCAAAGAGAGCGCAGCGCGCACAGCTCCTATAGAGCAAACAGGGGCTGTGGCAGACGGAGGAGGGATGGGGGGGGAGGATGCAGGCTGAGGCGGAGGGATGGGGGGGGAGGATGCAGGCTGAGGAGGGAGAGACGCAGGGAGGGATTGGCTGGGCTGCAAAGGAGAAGGAGGCAAAAGTTTTGGGTAAGGTGGGGGATTGTCTGCGATGGCTAGAAGTGCAGGAGCCGAGCGAGACGCCTGGGGTAAAGTAGCAACGGCATCTGCACATTTCTGCCAAGTGAGCAGACAATGAATCGGAGCCCTAGGTTCAGCAAAAAGGGTCTTTCCGATTTTTTGCCAAGTCTCTACCTCCAAAGAACCAGCCTCTGGATAGAAGGGACATTCTAAAGCGATCTCATGTAGCAATTGTTCAATTACTTTTAAGGAAATATTAACACCCACCTCCCGCTGTCTAACTAAATAAAGCAATTCTTTAGCATGCTCTTTCTGGAATTTAGTCAATTCCCCTCCCATACTCACGAAGTAGCGCGCTGAGACTTTTCCAGTCGGGTGAAGTATGAGGGCTGGCTGCGTAAGGGATCTGGCACGTCAGGGGTCACCAGATGTTGGGTTGAAATCACGACAGACGAGTGGTAGGTGTCATGTGAGAGGCGTCTCCCCAGGGCAAGCCCCGGGAACTCTCTTTTATTGAATATTACAAACATTGCCACAGGTGTGCTTGTGGCTGATTGGTTGATACAAACACAAAGCATCTTGTTGCTGATTGGTTAACATAGGTACAAGGCGGGAATTACATACAACCATTTATTACTGATAGATCAAAGACTGGGAAACGGAGCTGAAACTAGACAGGCATGAAACCTCCTAATTAAATTATAACTAAAGATTGATATTGAAAGAACATAACATGAAGGAATACAACAATCACGTTCCGTAGATGTGGTCAGCAATGCATTAAAAACAGGTCAGGATACACTGTTTCATGAACTCAATGGGAACTGTTCAGAACATTCTCAGACTCTTGTGCAGAAGCAGAGAAAAGATTATGAGCGAGACTTCCCAGAATGCAAGAGTTATGTGCAGTAAGAGAACTGCAGAAAGAGAACTTCGCAGTAAGAGAACTGCAGAAAGAGAACTTCCCTTCACTTTTCCCTTTAACTTATTTCCATGACCTCCTCTCACCTCCCAATTTTGTATTCTAGTTCAAATCGTATTTCCAGCAAATCCTTCTAACCTTATTTTCATTTACGTATTTTAAAATTTAAATAATGTGATTAAACCTCCTCTGTTTCATCAATTTAATCAACTCATTTTTACTTAATCCTTTATATCATATCTACCAGAACGACCTAATTTTCTTTTTCCAACCTCTTTCTAACAGTCTTTTATATTGCAGTATTTTTGAAGGTATATTTTAAATTTTTTCCAATCTTCTTCCATCGACCCTTCTCCCTGATCTCGAATTCTGCCAGTCATCTCAGCCAGTTCCATGTAGTCCATCACTTTCATCTGCCATTCTTCTCGGGTGGGCAATTCTTGTGTCTTCCAGTACTTCCCGATGAGTATTCTTGCTGCTGTTGTAGCATACATAAAAAAAGTTCTATCCTCCCTTCGTACCAATTGGCCGACCATGCCCAGAAGAAAGGCCTCTGGTTTCTTCAGAAAGGTATATTTAAATACCTTTTTCAATTCATTATATATCATTTCCCAGAAAGCCTTAATCCTTGGGCATGTCCACCAAAGGTAAAAAAATGTACCCTCAGTCTCTTTATATTTCCAGCATTTACTGTCTGGCAGATGATAGACTTTTGCTAGCTTGACTGGGGTTAAGTACCACCTGTAAATCATTTTCATTATATTTTCTCTTAAGGCATTACAAGCCGTAAATTTCATACCTGTGGTCCATAACTGTTCCCAGTCAGCAAACATAATGTTATGTCCAAAGTCTTGTGCCCATTTAATCATAACAGATTTAACCATTTCATCCTGTGTATTCCATTTCAACAGCAAGTTATACATTCTTGATAAATTCTTAGTTTTAGGATCTAAAAATTCTGTTTCCAATTTTGATTTTTCCTCCTGGAAGCCAATCTTCTTATCTAAATTATAAGCCTCCCTTATTTGATAATAATGAAGCCAGTCTCGAACTTTAGTTTTTAATTTATCAAAGCTCTGCAGCTTTAATCTATCTCCATCTTGTTCTAAAATTTCACAATATTTTGGCCAATTTGTCTCCATATTGATTTTTTTCAGAGCCTTAGCCTCCATTGGTGACAGCCACCTTGGTGTTTTACTTTCTAACAAATCCTTATATCTCACCCAGACATTAAACAATGCTTTCCTGACAATATGGTTCTTAAAGGCCTTATGTGCTTTAACCTTGTCATACCATAAATATGCATGCCACCCAAAGACATTATTAAAACCTTCTAGATCCAAAATGTCCGTGTTTTCAAGAAGCAGCCAATCTTTCAGCCAGCAAAATGCGGCTGATTCATAATAAAGTTTAAGATCTGGCAAGGCAAATCCACCTCTTTCTTTAGCATCAGTTAAAATCTTAAATTTTATTCTAGGCTTCTTGCCCTGCCAGACAAATCTCGAAATATCTCTCTGCCATTTCTTGAAACAGTCCATCTTGTCCAAAATCTGCAATGTTTGAAACAAAAACAACATCCTAGGCAGGACATTCATCTTTATCACAGCAATTCGGCCCAACAATGATAACTTCAATTTTGACCATATTTCCAAATCCTTTTCACTTCCATCCAGCATTTTTCATAATTATCTTTAAATAAATTCACATTTTTAGCAGTCATATGAACCCCTAGATATTTCACTTTCTTAACCAATATTAAACCTGTCTCCTTCTGAAACCTCTCTTTCTCAATCTCTGTAAGATTTTTCTCTAACACCTTGGTTTTCACCTTGTTCAACTTAAATCCAGCTACTTGACCAAATTCTTGAATTAATTGCAATACTCTTTTAGTACTGGATTCTGGCTCCTGTAATGTCAAAACCAAATCATCAGCAAAAGCTTTCAATTTATACTGTTTAGCTCCGAGTTGTATACCTTTAACCAATTGGTCTTTCCTGATCATGTTAAGCAAAACCTCCAGGACCGATATAAAAAGCAATGGGGAGATTGGGCAACCCTGTCTTGTTCCTTTCTCAATCTTAAACTCTTCTGTAACCACGTTGTTTACAATCAACTTAGCTTTTTGTTCTGAATAAATTGCACCTATACCGTTTTCAAAACCTTGGCCTACCCCCATTCCCTGTAAATTTTTCTTCATAAAACTCCAAGAAATATGATCAAAGGCTTTCTCCACATCCACAAATATTAATACTGCTTTAGTGTTAATATTAACTTGTAATTTTTCTAAAATGTTAATTATATTCCTCGTATTATCTGACAAATGCCTCCCTGGGAGAAAGCCCGCTTGGTCCTTATGGATTTCTTCCACCAATACCTTTTTTAATCTCTTAGCCATAATTTCCGCAAAAATTTTGTAATCCACATTAAGTAGAGATATGGGACGGTAGTTCTTAAGCTGTGTCTTTTCCGCTTCTGTTTTTGGTATAAGTGTAATATAAGCTTCTTTCCACGACTTGGGTGCCTTCCCCCCCCCCCCCCAATATTTCATTGCAAACTTCTTTCAAAGGCTGTATTAACCATTCTTTCAAAGATTTATAGTACTTTGCAGTCAAACCATCTGGCCCTGGAGATTTGCCCAATTTCATGTCCTGAATGGCTCCTTCCACCTCTTGGTCAGTTATTATACAGTTTAACATTGATTTACTCTCTTGAGAGATTTTTTGTAATCCATTTGTTCTCAAAAACCGATCAATGTCTATTTCTTTCTGGATCTCCTGCGTGTATAGTTGTTTAAAGTACTTCTGAAAACACTTTCTAATCTCCGCAGGGTTCTGTATGCTCTTTCCTTCTACTACCAGGTTCGTAATAGTATTAAGTTTTTGTCTTTTTTTCATTTGCCATGCCAGCAATTTCCCACACTTGTTCGCTGATTCAAATGTCTTTTGTCTCATCTGTTTGATCTTCCATTCTGTTTCCTGATTTGTCAGTTTCATATATTGTACTTGATATAGCTTTATCTCTTTTAAAATCTCCTGTGAATTCGGTTTCATCCTCAGTCTCTTTTCTCCATCCTTTATTTTCTCCAAGATTTTTTCCCTTTTCTCATTTTGAACTCTTTTCCTAATTGCATTTTGTTGTATCAGAAACCCTCTCATAACTGCTTTACTTGCATCCCAAATCACTCTTTTTTCAGTCGTGGTATTCATGTTTATCTCAAAATAGTCTCTCAAGTTTTTCTGGGCCTTTTTGATAATTTCCTCGTTCCTAAACAGGGAGTCATTCATCCTCCATCTGAAAGATCCAATTGGCGTTAATGTCATTTCCATCTTCACTGGATTATGATCAGAGCAAATTTTAGGGCAAATTACCGCTTTTTTAAATCTTCGGGGCCAGTCCCCTACTTATCCAAATTTGGTCTATTCTTGTCCATGTCATTTTAGCTTCAGAGAAGAAGGTTCCTTCTCTTTCCAAGGGGTTCTTTGTTCTCCAAATATCTACAAGATCCATATTGTCAGTCATTTCAAAAAATGTCTTTGGTAGTCTGCCATCTTTCGTCACCGTTTGTCTTTGGGCTTTATCCATATTCGTAGACACGACTCCATTCATATCTCCCATCAAAATTATGTTGTAATCCAAATAGTCCAGTAAGATTTCATGCAATTTCTTAAAGAATTCTGATTTTCCCTCATTTGGTGCATAGATGCCTAATGTCAAAAACTTCTGACCATGGAGTTGTATTTCAATTGCAATAAATCTTCCTTGGTCATCTTTAAATAAAAATTTCGGTGACAGGCTTTCCTTTGCATATAGTACTACTCCTCTTTTTTTAACGTTATCTGATGAAATAAATTATTCTCCCAATCTTTTATTAATCAAAATTTTCCGATGTAGCCTTGTCACATGCGTTTCTTGTAAACAAATCAAGTCCAAATGTTCTTTTTTTAATATATGAAATACTCTCCCCCTTTTCCCCCGAGAGTTCAGTCCATTAACATTCCAACTTAATACTTGCAGTGTCATGGTGTACTTACTCTCCTTCTCCCCCAACAGCCCCCAGTAGTTTGTCTATATCTGTCGGTGGCGTTAATTTCCCTTTTTTTTGTAGACTCTTGTCCAGTACGGCAGGCTCTTTTCCAAGTCCTTTCTGTAGGTCTTCTTCGTATGTGCTCAAGAACTTATTTTTTTCCTCCACTGATCTTATCTTTATCTTTCTTCCTTTAAAACTAAAGGATAGGCCTTGAGGGAATTCCCACCTGAAGAGGATCTTACTTTTTCTCAGCAGGGCCACCAAGTCTCCAAAGTCTTGTCTTAAATCCAATAGGTGTTTCGGTATGTCTTTGAAGATTTCCACTTTTGATTGCAGAATTATCAAAGGTTTCTGGTAATGCAAACCCAAAATTTTGTCCCTTTCTTCTTTAGATCGGAGGGTAATCAGGCAATCCCTTATTTTAATCTTTTTTCCTCCTTTTCCCAGTCTGAAGGCCCTCACGATCTTAAAATCTTCTTGTTTCAGTTCTGATTTCCAAAATTCTGCAAATTCTTGTGTCAAAAAATCTGTCAAGGTGCCCGTCTCCAGCTCAGGAATAGCTCTAATTCTTAAATTCGTCTGTTTCTCTTTCAGTTCGATCATAGACAGCGTCAGCTTGTGATCTGCAATTTCCTTCTGTAGGCCAGGGACCTTCTCAGTTTCCAGCTGCTCTATTTTGAATTCCACGGCAGCAGTTTTTTCCTGTGTCGACTTCGATTCCTGCAATAATTTCTGAATAGATTCTGTATTACTATTCACCTTTTCCCCCAAATTGTCTAATGTTTCTGTGTTTAGATCAATTTTTTTATTTGCAGTATCAACTTTCTTATTCGTTTCTTCAACCTTTTTATTTGTCTCATCGACCTTTGTACTAAGTTGTAATAAAGTTTCATTAATCCTGGCCAATGCATTTGCTAGAACTTCTTCTGCCATTCCACTGGACTTAGCGTGTGTTGCTGTTGTAGGCAAACCAGCAGATGATTGCCTTCGGTGCCCCCAGGCTTTCCCAGACCTCAAAACTGACGCGTCTAGTTTTTCTTTCCCATCTGCCATAACAATGTAGAAGCCAAGGTCACTCTCAGATAGGCTATTCCTGTTTACCAGTGGAAAATTCCCTTGTTGCAATTTCAAAAAGTCCCCCTAGGTGGACACTGTTGCGTGGCAAGACCCCTCCCCCATGTGAAAAGAAGACACCGGACACATTATATAAGGTTAATGGGCATTAAAAGGCCACAACTTTATTGATTACAGAGTTGAAAGGTATTGGCCTTAGGCATTGGCTCCTATCGACTACCCGGTAAGCAGGCCGGGAAGGGTTAACCACAAACCGTGGGAGTCCTGTTGAAGTACGCCAACTAGGATCCCACGGGTGTCACCGCTCGGGGGCGTGCCGGGGGCCCTTACCTCCCTAGGTTTCGGACAAGGCAACGCCCCCCGGAGTCCTCTACCGGACTACCCTTTCCATGGGGGAAGGTGATGGCGCTTCCTTCCCCCCCAGTCATTTGCATAACAATAAACCCCTGCCAATGCCTAACCGCCACTCGAGCGAAGCTCGCCGCCAATACCTTCAAACCTGCAACCAACTCCTAATCCCTGCTATGATGTCCCCAAGCCAAATGTCGTTCCCAGAATCTGACAGATGCACGCCATCCCATCTGTAGAGGGCCTCGTTGCTGAACTGGATGCCTGGGTGTCCGATGACACACCCACCCAGAGCTGCCACTCTATGTTCCACAGCCCGTTCCAAGACCTTTCTTGCCTTATTGATTCCAACCGGGCTCACACAATCCCTCCAGGTCCTCCTCTCAAGCAACGAGGACCACAAGATAGCAATATTAGGGTAAGCTGCCCTCAGCTCAGCAAAGTCGTCAAAAATGTTCCATCTCAAGTCAATAGCTTTGCGGTAGGCCAGGTCGCTTTCCCCCAACTGGACGACCAGAGCATCAGGAGGGCCATCCAGGGCGGCTCTCGCCATTACAACTGGCTTGAATTCGCTCCAGTGCATGCCCCTTCGCGCTATCCACACCAGCTCCACATTCTCAGGCAAGCTCAAGTTTGGACCCAACCCGGTAGACATGGCACGATTCCTGGCCCAGTACACGATGCTGTGGCCCACCAACCAAATGCGTACCCGCTTGTAATCTGCAAAGCAAATAGACATAGAAACCAGGGTCAGGAGAACGATCGCTAGTCAAAGGTTCTTTCTCAAGTAGGCTTTGTATGCATCAGACTTCCACCGCCCTAAGTCCTTTATCCTCTCTGCCGAGAGCCCCATGTGCATAGCCGTGGTTGCTGCCCCGATCCGGAAAGAGTGAGCCGCAAACTCGGCAGCGGGCAGCCCGCATGCTGCCAACGCCAAGCGCATCACCCGTGTAAACTGATGCCTGGCCAAAAGCGATCCGTCCACGTGAATAAACAGAGGGCCGGGGCAGTTGGGTCTTAGGTAGAGAAAACACCTCATATCCCTCACCGGACAGGGGCCACTCGCTCCTGCGGCTGGCAACCGCAAGAGGGCCCCCCTATCTGCCTGGAGCTGTGCATTTTGCCACGAAACTTTAAAAAATCCGCCCAAGCCTTGGTGTACGATCTCATTGTGGAGGGGGCAACTGCACCGAATACTCCCTTCATCACTTCCTGTTCCCAAGGCTCCAGAGATGCTCCGGGAAAGACATCGATGATTGCTCCGCGTCCGGGGCTAGTGAGCGAAAGCGCTCCATCTGGAAACGAGACAGAGCATCCGCAATGTCGTTATTGCTGCCAGGCACGAATTTGGCCGAAAAATATATATTCTTTTCCAGGCAAAGGAGGACAAAGGACCTCAACAAGTTTCCTACCCTGGTGGAACGCGCAGACTGCCTAGAAAGGACCCCTACTACGGCCTGGTTATCTGTGTTAAAACAAACCCTGCGATTGCAGAACTGCTCTGCCCAAAGATGCACGGCTACCACGATGGGGAAAAATTCCAGGAAAGTAAGGTCCCAAGTAATGGGCTGTCCCCGCCAGTCTGCAGGCCACTTTTGGGCACACCACTGACCCCTGAAATAAACTCCAAAACCCAGTGAACCTGCTGCATCCGAGTGGACCTGGAAATCGGCACCGAGAGCCATGGAATCCTGCCACAAGGATATACCGTTGTATTTGTCGAGGAATTGAAGCCAAATGCCCAGGTCCGCCTTGACTTCTTTGGAGAGGCGCACCCTATGTTGTGGGGCCCTGAGCCCCGCAGACAATCTTGCTAGACGACCGCAAAAGGGGCGACCCGGGGACACAACCCTGCAGGCAAAATTTAGGTGCCCCAGCAGGGATTGAATTTGCCTTAGGGTAACTTTCTTCAGTGGCAGTAGCTGTTGTATAAGAGCTCTAAGCGCGTCCAGTTTATCCCTGGGCAGTCTGGATGTCTGGGCGACGGTGTCTAATTCAATGCCTAGATAGACCAAGGACGTGGCTGGACCCTCTGTTTTATCGGCAGCTAGCAGAACTCCCAGCTCCTCGGCCAGGGCTGTGAAAGCCTCCAGGAGGGCGGAGCATCGCTGGCCGTCCTCTGCCACTAAAATGAAATCATCCAAGTAATGCGACACGCCCGACAAACCTGTCCTAAAGCGTAAGGCCCAATCAAGGAACGTACTGAACGACTCGAAGGCTGAGCAAGCCACGGAGCAGCCCATAGGCATTGCCTTGTCAATGAAATATGCCCCCTCAAATCTGAAGCCCAGCCAACGGAAGTCAGCTGGGTGGACAGGCAGGAGGCGGAATGCCGACTCGATGTCACATTTAGCTAGAAGCGCACCTTTACCGAATCTGCGAATCATTTTTACTGCTTGGTCGAAGGAGGCATATTTGACTGTACAAAGCTCAGGGGGAATCGCGTCATTGACTGAGCCTCCCCTTGGGTACGAGAGGTTGTGTATCATGCGGAACTCCCCCGGGGTCTTTTTCGGTACAATACCCAGGGGGGATAAGTGAAGATCTTCCAAAGGGGGCTTGGCGAAAGGGCCAGCCACCCGACCTGCCCTAATTTCTTTCTCAATCTTTTTCCTGACTATATCGGGCCTCTCCCTAACAGATTTTTGATTTTGTGGATCCCCGGTGTTAGAGGGAAAAGCCACTGGGATTCTGAAACCCTCTGAAAACCCCTCCCACAGGTATTGCGCGGCTTTGCGGTTAGTGTATTGATCGAGCAGGGTTTTGAGGGGCCGGAGACGAACGGGGGAGAAGGCCAGGCCAAGATGCGGGTTACTGGCGATTGCCGGGTCCCTGGTGGGAAGATCCGGGGGCACCTCTATTGTTGTTGTGGAAGTACCCCCTGCCCCCCCCGAAAGGGCTGCTGTTTGTTCTTAAAGCACGAGGAGGCGGGGTGATTACCCCAGCACCTGTCACATTCGTGTAAATACTTACAGGAGGGTCTGGAGCATACACCCCTATTGAACTCCCAGCAGAGGCGACGCCGCTTCACCTCTGTCTTACCCGCCTTGGTCGATGTCGATCCCGGATTTTTCTTTTCAATGTATGGATTAACGTCCTCGCCCCAGTAGTTAGGGTCCGTTAGGTCCCATCGGGTGGTAGGGAGGAGAGAAGCATTTCTACGGAAATTCTCGTCATATGTTAAAGCGGCATGCTCCCCCGCGAGCGAGTGAGCCAGCCTCACATGAGCTAAATAAGCAACCAAATCCATGGATCTCCGAGGATACGCCGCGCAAACAACACCCATGAAAACCTGGTACCCGTCCAACCAGTTCTCGAAGGTGCGCTCAGCCCTGGGGGTCCTGTATCTTCCTTTACCAGAAGATCGCCTCTTTTCACCTTTACCTAACAGTTTTGTTGGAGGGAGCAGGGTAAACATGTCCACATAATCACCATTGAGGATCTTATTCCTCTTCTTCTGGGACAAATGATTCCCCAATATAAAATCAGTGGACTGGTTGGTGGCCACCTTTACATCCTCAACCAAGGCCCCATCCTTCCAATCCAGTACTCCATTAAACGTTTTACGGTGTGAATTGGCCCTCCTTTCGTGAGCCCAAAGTGGGATCCCGTGATTCCCTTCTCCCAAACCCCAGTAACCATCCATGGGGCCGTCACTGTCCGAATCAGAAGATGACGTACCTGTCTCGTCCTCCGTCTTGGACTGCTTGCTCCTCTTCTTCTTGGCGGACGTGTGCTTCTTCTTGGACTTCCGTTTGCCGCCCTGGACCTCGACGATGGCCGAATTCGCCTCGGCCACTGGCTGAACCACTTGGTGTTCCCTGCGCTCTTCCTCTAAGCCGGAACCCTCACTGTCCTCGGTAGAGCTATGCTGGGGTTGCTGTTCCTGAAACACACTAGGAATGTCTACCGCCTGTGAGAAGGTATTGGAGCTCGAACCTTTGGAAGTGGCCTTACCCTTGCCAGGGACTTTTGACGGTGCCTTACCTTTTCCCGTGCATTGATTGGCCCTCCTAGAAATGGCTGCTTGGGCACGAGTATTAGGACGACTCATATTGGACGTTTCGGCTTGGGCACTGGCCCCTGCTGGTCCTGGCATTCCCAGCTGCCCTTGATTGCTGGGCGGTGTGTCTGGTATAACATCCTGTGATGGGTCGGGGACGGGGGGAGCTAAAGCCCCAGGCCTACATTGCCTATAGAATGTTTCAAACGCCCGGAAAAATTGAGCGAAGGCCTGCGGGTCACAAGGCATGGCCCCCGCTTGCGCGCTACCATTACTTGCGCAAGGTGCCTGCTGATTGCCCGAAGTGGTTGCCTGTTGTTCTCCTCCAGAAGCCATGACAAACTATATGTGGGACCTGAGCGAACTCAAAATGCTTTACAAACAAAAATGCCTCTGCCCTGCAACTACACACGGCCAAGGGGTCCGACTAGTTCAGTATTGTCTACAACCTTTAAGGCTCTATGAAGGAACCACGGAGCAAATATATTCTTTATCTAGTTGCCAGCCTTAATTTGTAGTATTTATTTACTTATTTGTTTGTTTATTTATTTATTTATTTATTTATATATATCTATATATTTATTTATTTATTTATTTATTTATTTATTTTCTTTCTTTTATTTATTTATTTATTTATTTATTTAATTTTTATTTATTTATTTATTTACTTCCTGTACTCCAAGTAGCTGCAAAGGCTCAGCTTGATTGCAAGTCTGCAGGACTATTGTTGTTTGTTACCTAATATACAAATTGTATTTGTCTATTTATCTATACTATGTATTTATTATAAAATTTATCTCTTTGAAATACTTGTATTTATTTATTTATTTATTTATACCGTTTATATATTTATTTATTTATTTGTTTGGGAGAGAATCGAATGAAATGTAATATACAATGCTTACTGTATTGTATTTATTAAGCTGCTACCAGAATTATAATTAAAACGTTATCAGAATTGTTAATATTATTATTATTATTGCTTTGCTTATTGTTACTATTGGTAATGAATTCCTATGTTATAAATAGTATTAACAGAAGCACCCAAATATGCTTGCTCTGCCTCTAAACAGACACAGTTATGTTTGATAAGCAGCCCGGGAAATTACAATTGCTTTGTCCTAGTGACCCAAGGAAGCTTCACAATTAGGATCAGAAAAGCGCTCGAAAAGCAGGGGAGGGAAGAGCGGAAATCCAGCCAGAATAAATCACTATCCCCCGAGCTCTAGCCCCCAAACGCCAGCCCCGAACAACACAATACAAGGACAGCGAAAGAAGAGATATATGTAAAATGTAGAGAAGCCAGGGAGCTCCTGACTGGCAAAGCAGGCTGTTAGGCGCTGATGCTGTATTGCCTGCTAAAGGATCGCGGGTAAAAGAAGAGTATATCAGCCCTCCCAAGATGGCGCCTGCCCTCCCCAAAATGGCTGCTCGGGCCTGACCACGTGGCCCCAACAAGATGGTGCCTGCTATAGGGCTGAACGCTGGAAGCCTCACTTAAAATGGCGGACGCCCTGAGCCCGCACCACGTGATCAACCGTAATGGCTTCGGAAGCGGCGGTTGCCCTGACAACGAATAAACAATCCCCCGGCAAGATCAACGAGCTTGCTATATTCACGGAAACAACCAAGCGGTCCACGAGACCCAACCAAATAAAAGAACTCCCCCAAAGCAGTAACGACAGGAGCGCCAGCAAATTATGGAAGAAAGAACCCCACGGCCAAACCTCCAATCTCCGGGCTGTCCGCGCTCCGAATCCTGCCACTCCGAGGTTCTTCCTTCTAAACGGGGGCACGCGGCACCAAATCCTCTGCGGGAAATCCACGTGTACAGGGGTGCGCCGAATAGGAAGATTGCCCTGCGCTAAAGGAGAACCTCGTCGCCGACGCTGCGACGACCGAGCTCCTAGGCTGCCGCACCAGCCGGAGAAACCAAAGCAAGTTCAACTCTACGTGAGTTGACACCGATATGCTCTCTCTTCGCACAGGCCGAGGCTCCCCGCGATCCTCCGTGTGCACTGAAAATCACAGGACGAAGTTAGGCTAAAGAAAAATTCACGATCCGCTCTGCAAAAATATCCGCTCAGCTGGCGAGGGGGAAAGAGGGTGGTCCCCGGGCGTACCTGGCCTTAAATAGGTCAGGCCACGCCTCCCTGGCCCGCCGATTGGCGGGTCAGGTCGCAGGCACGCCCGGGGATTCCCTGAGTCTCGCGGGGGCATAAGGCCAGCCCCCGCGTGTGGGACGGGGTCGCCCGCAACCCCCTCTCCTCCGAAGGCGGAAATGGCTTTGCAATAATCCAAAGAAGTAACTTTCCTTCTTAGAGCAACAAAGGGAACTGCAGTCGAAGAAAGAAACAGTTCCGATTAAATTACCTTCCAGTTATTTTTCCAACAAAGCTGGCCACAATGTATCCACCTTACTGTCAGCAGATCTCTTTTGACAGCTTTTGACAGCTGAGACGTCTCACTGGCAGATCGTTCCCCCTTTCTTTAAACAGCTTTACACAGTCCAAAGCAACCCCCTTCCATTCCCTGCTTTCAGAAGGGTAGATTCAGAAAAAGTTCTCAAGTCGGAAAACAGCTCTTTTCAAACTTGGTTTCAACGCTTTAGCTCAAAGTCTCTATGCTTTACACTATCTACAAGACGGGAGGCAGACTTCCTGGTTATACCTCCCGCCGCGGTAGCCAATGCAGTCCTTATTATTCCTTTCCAATTCAATCAGTCTTTTTTTAAAAAAATAAGCCCAATTCAGTCAATCTTTTAGCAATCCAATTCCGCCTACTCATGGGTAATCCTTTAAGTTCCAATTGTTCCAGGATAGAAATCAGCGCTCTCCAGCAACGGCAATGCGGCTTCGCTCCGTGAAAGCAGCAATCGACTCACAGCACCGCGCCTCTCCCCCGTTCCGCTCCGAAGCCTCGGAAAGGGCTTCCTCGCGAGTTGGGGGGGCGCTGAAGGGTGCCCACCGAGTCCCCACGTTCGCAGGCTTCACTGCCTGCGATTTCTAAGGGTCCCCGCTCCGCCGCAGCGCTCAGGACCCGATTTTCACGGAGCCGACCCCCTCTGAGATCAAAGGGAATCCGCCATTAGCTAATGGCGCTGACCGGAAGTCGAGGTTGTTGATATTTCTTCCGGTAATCTTAATTCCGCCTTGGGATTCATCCAGCCCAGTCTTTCACAGGATGTATTCTGCATATAAGTTGAATAACCAGGGAGACAATATACAGCCTTGTTGTACTCCTTTCCCAATTTTGAACCCATCAGTTGTTCCATATCCAGTTCTAACTGTAGCTTCTTGTCCCACATAGAAGCCCATAAAATCTTCTCCAACTTTGATCCTAACTTTGCAATCATCAGCCTAAGCATATCAGTCAGTTTCTTTGGGAATAATGTTTTGCCATAGACTCCTCTACACATTTCCATTATTTCCTGAGTTTTTTATTTGGTTGTTGTCCGATTGCTGCTGTCCTTTGGGCCAATTCAATAAATTCACAAAATTTTACTTGGCAGTCTGCCACTGGTGGGAATATATCTCCCTTCCAGTTTTTTGCCTCTAAAATCCTAGCGGCAGCCGTCGCAAAGAGGAATTTTTTCTTATTGATGGGCATGCATTTTGTCACTATACCTAGAAGGAACGCTTCTGGCCTTTTCTTGAATGTAGTTTTGAACCTCTTTTAATTCTTCATAGATATTATTCCAGAACTTTTGGGTTTTGTCATATCCCCCCATACACGATACCTTGTTCCTTCTGTCGTCTTACATCTCCAACATGCGTTTGATTTTAGTTTATATGCTTTAGCTCATCTGGCAGGGGTCACGTACCACTTGTACCACATCTTTGTTAGATTTTCCTTGATTGTGTAACAGGCAGTAAAATTGATATCTTGTCTCCATAGCCTTTCTCACTGATCCATCTGGATTGCGTACCCAAAATCCTGGCTCCGCCTAATCATAACCTCCTTATCTTTCAATTCCCATGGGGGGGGGCGCATACTTGTCTGGACGATCCTGAGGCAGCACAGACCCGGATCCTGCACCAAAGGTGGTCCAGTGGGATGGAGCAGGAGGCTGAGAAAAGGGAAGCAACATGCATATAAAACCCTTTGGAGGCTTCATCTGAAGAAGGCAATGGAATAGTATCCAAGGTTTAATCTGAACCAGGGCTCAGCCAGAATTATCACCTCCCACCCCCGACCCATCCTGGGAAACATCTGCTTGAAGGAAGGCAGATGAATAAATGAACGAACCGTGTTTTGGTGAATGGCTCAGCGCTGTAACTTGTGAAGTCCTGAAAACAGGGTTTTGTCGTCTTTTCCTCTTTTAAAATAATTTTTATTGCATTTTACATTATTATCTTTTCCACAGATATATCTTAACACATAATAACAGATTAAATTCCTCTCTTTTCCCCCTCCCCCTCCCCATGACTTCCCCTTCTGGTTTTTTTCATGGAAAAAAAATGGTTCTGCTTACAATACTATACTTCAGTAATATATCCTTAAATGAAATGTTGTTCTATCCTGACTTTCTGTCATTTCTATGTTTGTTAACATAGAAGCAAGCAAGTCCATTTCTTTAGATTGATTCTGTATATACAACATAAATGGTTTCCAAACTTGACTCAAAGTCTTTCAGTTAATTTTGCTATTTCAGCATATTCAGCATATTCCACCAGTTTTTCTTGCCATTGTCCTTTCGTTGGTATTTCATCACTTTTCCATCTTTGGGCGAGTAAAATCCTTGCCGCAGTTGTAGTTGACATGTCCTCTGATCACATGCAGAGTGCAACCTTCCACCACCCCACCCCGCAGCAATATCTTGTTCCGTTCATTGAAATGCCTTCACTGCCTTTTGGCTCATTGCAAAATCCAGTTCAAAGTGCTAGCAATGGCTAGTTTGTTTTTATTTGAAAACCTTTGTAAACCACCCTCCCTAACATAAAAAAACCCCCAAATCTAAAGTTACGGTGTTTTCAAAAAAAAAAAAAGAGACCCAAATGGGTAATTGACAATCGACTCATTGAGCAGGTACAAGCCTTTAAATATCTGGGCATAAGTTTCCAGGGAAAGGGTTCGTGGAATGGTCAGGTTAAAAACACTATTGCCAACACCCTAAGATCCTCTAAAGCTATCATAAGGATTTTTTTATGGAAAAGGTGGCAAATATATTATGGCAGCCTCCCGGGTCTTTGCTGCAAAGGTACTATCACAATGGACTCATGGCTTCCAGATCTGCAGCTTTCAAAACCTTGTTCCCTTAGAAAGCTTTCAAACCAAGTTTTATTGCTCCCTTCTAGGGGATCCCTTCTTGCGTGGCAAATATAGCTGCCCGTTGGAGGTCAGTCAAGTCCCTGTAAGCACTCAGATATGGATCCTGAAGATCTATTACTGGATAAAACTCGTCTTTTTTCCTGTTGAGTTGGCACCCTTAACCATACTACTGATAAGGACAGAGAAAATAAAATGGTAATTTGAAAGTTTGCATAAAACAATAATAGGAACAACAGTACTGTACAATGAGTCTAATCAGAAGTCACATTTATTTTTCTCATGATTTTTTCTTTTTTCTTTTTTTCCATTTTTCTCTTTTTTTCTCTTTTTTTCTCTTTTTTTCTCTTTTCTTTCTTTCTTGTATTCTTCTTTCTTCTTTTTTCTGTTATGCAAAACAGATACAGATTTTAAAAAATATATGGAATGTTGTTTTAGGCAGATATCTGGCTACCTACACCATCAAAGTCCTCATTAAGGGAACAAAGAATGATAAATACATACTGAATATCAGGTATCTCCATGTCCCTTTGAATAAATTCGCTGCGTATCACCTCCAGACATCTCAAGTGTGCTGCCAAATCACCACCAGGCTGCAACTTTGTCTGGTACAGCTGCTTGAAAAAAGTCAATGCAGATGCCGACTCTTTTCTGATATGCACTGCTGCAAGACTGTCCCACATTTCTTTGGCAGTTTTCTTATTCCTTATATAGACTACTTGCTGGTCGCTGACTTCCAAATTAATTATCGCCCTGGCTTTTGCATCTCCTTTTGACCAAGCACAGGGTCAGGAGGGTCATCAGTTACATAGGTCCACACTTCACGAGAGGTCAAAGTGCCTCCACCCGAAACGACCATAAACTATAGTTATCATCTGTCAGCTGTGGGAAGGCCAGAGCTTTCTCAGCTTCTGGAACCCGCTCAGACATTCTGGAACTCTTCCAGACCCACAGAACCACACCAACAGGAGAAGCAGTTTTCAAACCTTTCTCAAAGTCCAAAAATGTGCAGTCATCCACTCAGCAGCTGGGCCCATAACCAAAGTTGTTGGCTATTTGCAGATTAGTTGCGCTGCAGAAGGCGTGCTGGGGAGACCACACATTACAAGGAATGCAAAAATAACTTTTCCTAGGTTTTAATAACAAAAACAAAAACTCCTTTTACATTAATTATAATATATCAATAAGCACAACCCATCCACCAGGGTACTGAGAGAGCTACATGTGGCTCTTTATATATATATATTTTAAATAATATTTATTGATAATTTCAGGATTACAAGGGGGGAAAAAAAACACTACAATACAAAAAAAAGAAAAAAAAAGAGAAAAGCACAAAATATAAAAACCAATACGACAATACAGCAAAAGGAAAAAAAAGAAGAAAAAGGGGGAAAAAAACACAAATCCCAAATTGCATATCCATAATTTCCATTTGCTTATTTCATTGACCTCCTCACACCTCCCTTTTTGTATTCTAGTTTAGTAATTATTTCAGCAAATTCTTTCCATCTTTCTCAATTTTTGTTATATAATTTATCTTAACAATTTAACCTAATAATTAACTCAACAAATCCTTTCCATCTTTCCCCATATTCTGTTGTTCAAATTACCTTAATTTATTTAACCTTATCTTACCCCTAAATACCTTAAGACTTAAATCTTAGTTTTCAAATATACATAGCTCCTGATAT